CTCTGTTATTAAAGTTGGTGGGGACACGCTACAGGGGTGGGTGCTGCAGCTAGAGGACTTTAGGTTTTTATATTTTTCTGGAAATGAGCACAAACATAAATGGCAATGCCATATGGGTGATTCTTAGACTACAGGCACTTTTATTTCCTTTTATCATATTTCATGAAAAAATGAAAAAAGGGACATTTCACACTTTTATAGTTATCTTTACAATGAAAGTGTTTTAGGACATTTGTTTTAGTAGTCTGTGATGACTTTTTCACCTTTTGTCAGCCTCATTTATATGTAAACGTTGCCTTTTTGTGCTTTTCCCACACCCAGACTTTTGATCTTCAATGATAAAAATGAATAGTAAAAAAACATTTTTTTTCTAATGTTTTAAAATATCATTAAATGAAATATCAGTAAAATAATCAAACTATAATTGGAGTATTTAATGTCATATAACTGTTTATGACTTTACGACTTTATTCTTTTGATATTACGATTTTATTCTCATAATGTTAAGAGTTTATTCTCGTAATTTTATGACTATTATCATTGCAACTTCATCTCATAATTTTACGACTTTATTCTCGGAATAGAAGAAAAAAAAAATCTCTACCTTGGCCCTAATAGTCCGTGGTAATAAAGGTATAACTGTCTATGGGCAAAATGTCATAAAGTCCATGTTTCTACGTGACGTCAGCGTTGGAACGCATACACAGTAGGAACGCCCACGCATCACTGTGACATCACAGCCCTCAAAGCAGGGCTGTGACGTCACAGTCACTCTGCTTTATAAGCAAAAGAACTGGTTCCCCCTGATTCTTGCCTTGACGTTAGACGAAGAAAGACACCAATTGGATTTCCAAGCAAATCTTTAAGGAATTTCATTAAGAAACATTTAAACATGAAGCAAAATTACAACGGAGACATTCGATTCAAAGCCCAGAGGACACATCTGAGTTACACCTTACAGAGTCTGATGGAGAAATATCGTCAATGAAAGTTATCAGAACGATAGAAAAGTCCTGCAGCAAAGTGAAAATGTTGAAGTGACCCTCAGCTTAGGATATGATGGCGCCTATAAGACTAAAACACAGGCCAATCATTCCTGTTGAAAACAAAACAACTTGAGAAAGATGAAAATCAAAATGATTTCCCTCAGTTCCACATCACACAAGACCATGAACTATTAAATTATGTTCAAGAAATGGATCTTCCTCTGGAGCAAACCCAAATTCTTCAGTCATGGTTTAAAGAAGGTGTATGTTTTACAAAAGAGACAGAGAAGAGAATCAAGGCAGAAAAACAATGTCAATTATATAAGGAAGCGCAGAGACGCTCTCTTGAAGAATTAAAAAATGGCAGCGCATGTGTGAATCACGCATAAACGCCACAGCACATGTTTTAAGGCAGCAGACAAGTATTCTAACAGAATCAAAGGAACTCTTTACAGAATTGAAGGAAACAAAATTTGATTTAAAAGAACTAGAAGAGCGACTGAAGTCTGCCAATAAGGTTATTCAAAAGTATTCAGCAGTAGTACAAAGAGAACGAGAAAAACGCGCTATGACTGAGAAAAAATTCAAAGTTTGCCATCAAGGTTTGTCAGTGTATGGTTGATTCAGGCTCCTCAGATTGTGAATCTGTGATTTTCAAAGAGGACCATGATTCAGTTATTCTCCAAGAGAGACCAGTCTGTCATAATACAGTTGTTGTAGAGGCTCTGGTTCATGAAGATCATCGAAGAAGTCTCCATTTGTGAATCTGAGATAGACACCGAAGAATCTGTTCCCACGTCTGAGATCCTTCCAGCACCTGAGAATCCTCAAGGTAGGGTCAGTATGAAAATGCCAGAAGCAGAATACACTAATGATCATGTAATCTGGCGACACGTTGAGGAATCTTTCAGTTCTATCCCTCTGCATCCGCCTAAGACTGCCAAAAAGCCGACAATTTGAGGTTCCACTTTGTGATTTTGAGATAATTGAAGAGCCTCCAGTTTGGGATTGGAAGGTTTATATCCATGACCCATTTTATCATTCTGATATTCAAAGGGAGGGCATTCTGTGATAATACAACTGTCGAAGAGGCGATGCTTTGTGATTCTGACACTTATAAAGAGGTTCCAGCTTATGGTTGCGAGATTTTTTAAGAGATCCCAGTTTATGATGCTGATATTGTCCAAGATGGCCCAGTCCGTAATAATACAGTTGTTGTAGAGGCAATGGTTCATGAATCTGAGATCATCAAAGAGGTCTACATTTGTGAATCTGAGATCGACAGAGACTAATCTGTTCCCACGTTGGAGATCCTTCCAGTATCTGAGAATCCTCAAGGCGGGTCGGTATGAAAGTGCCAGAAGCAGACAACGCTAATTTTCTTGTATCCTTGTGGAGACGCTTTCAGGAATTTTTCAGTTTTGTTCCTCGACATCCTTCTAAAACTGCCCAAAAGCCCACACTTTGTGATTCTGAGATTGTTGAAGAGCCTCTAGTTTTGGATTGAAAGGTTTATAACCAGGGCCTAGTTTATGATTCTTGTCCAAGGGGAGCCAGTGAGGGCAGTCAGTGATGATGCAATTGGTGAAGACGCCCTGCTTTGTGATTCTGAAAGTTATGAAGAGGTTCCAGCTTGTGGTTCAGAAATTTTTGAAGAGATTCCACTTTATGATTGTGAATTAGTCCGTGATAATACAGTTGTTTTAGGGGCCCTGGGTCATGAATCTGAGGATAATATATCGATGTGGAAACGGACGAAGAATTTTCTCACTCACGCACATCATAAAGTATAATTGCAAAAAGTGATTTACCCTTCCTTCCTTCCTTCCTTCCTTCCTTCCTTCCTTCCTTCCTTCCTTCCTTCCTTCCTTCCTTCCTATCCCCTTTCCATCTACCTACCTACTTACCCACCTACCTACCCTACCCCCTTACCATCTACCTACCACCCACCTACCTCTCTACCCATCTACCTACCTACCTACCTACCCACCCACCTCTTAACCCAGCTACCCACTCACCATCCTACCTACCCACCTACTTACCTGCCTATCTACCTATTGTCCTGTCCTCCCACCATAACTTCTGCTCTTACATTAATGAAAGAGCATCATGCACGTAAAAAGTTGCCTAACTCCATAATTTCCCACCAATGTGTCACTGGCCCTCCCAAACAACTCACATCTTTGTTAGTGAAGCTGAGCGCTCCCACATGTCTTCCTTCGGGGTGCCCCTTAAGATTAAGATCCAAAATAAAATTCTGAGATTAAAGTCAGCATTCTGAGAAAAAAGTAAGAATTCTGAGAAAAAAGTCAGAATTCTGAGAGTAAAGTCAGAATTCTGAAATTAAAGTCAGAATTCTGAGGAAAAAAGTCAGAATTATGAGATTAAAATCAGAAATCTGACAAAAAATTCAGAATTCTGATATTAAAGTCAGAATTCTGAGAAAAAAGTAAGAATTCTGAGAAAAAAATCAGAATTCTGAGAGTAAAGTCAGAATTCTGAAATTAAAGTCAGAATTCTGAGGAAAAAAGTCAGAATTATGAGATTAAAATCAGAAATCTGAGAAAAAATTCAGAATTCTGAGAAAAAAAAGTCAGAATTCTGAGAAAAAGTCAGAATTCTGAGAGTAAAGTCAGAATTCTGAGAGTAAAGTCAGAATTCTGAGGAAAAAAGTCAGAATTATGAGATTAAAATCAGAAATCTGAGAAAAAATTGAGAAAAAATTCAGAATTCTGAGAAAAAAAGTCAGAATTCTGAGAAAAAAAGTCAGAATTCTGAGATTAAAATCAGAAATCTGAGAAAAAATTCAGAATTCTGAGATTAAAGTAATAATTTTGAGGAAAAAGTCAGAATTCTGAGGGAAAAAAAATCAGAATTCTGAAATTAAAGTCAGAATTCTGAGAAAAAAAGTCAGATTTCTGAGAGTAAAGTCAGAATTCTGAGATTAAAGTCATAATTTTGAGGAAAAAGTCAGAAATCTGAGAAAAAAAATCAGAATTCTGAAATTAAAGTCAGAATTCTGATATTAAAGTCAGAATTCTGAGAAAAAAGTAAGAATTCTGAGAAAAAAATCAGAATTCTGAGAGTAAAGTCAGAATTCTGAAATTAAAGTCAGAATTCTGAGGAAAAAAGTCAGAATTATGAGATTAAAATCAGAAATCTGAGAAAAAATTCAGAATTCTGAGAAAAAAAAGTCAGAATTCTGAGAAAAAGTCAGAATTCTGAGAGTAAAGTCAGAATTCTGAGAGTAAAGTCAGAATTCTGAGGAAAAAAGTCAGAATTATGAGATTAAAATCAGAAATCTGAGAAAAAATTGAGAAAAAATTCAGAATTCTGAGAAAAAAAGTCAGAATTCTGAGAAAAAAAGTCAGAATTCTGAGATTAAAATCAGAAATCTGAGAAAAAATTCAGAATTCTGAGATTAAAGTAATAATTTTGAGGAAAAAGTCAGAATTCTGAGGGAAAAAAAATCAGAATTCTGAAATTAAAGTCAGAATTCTGAGAAAAAAAGTCAGATTTCTGAGAGTAAAGTCAGAATTCTGAGATTAAAGTCATAATTTTGAGGAAAAAGTCAGAAATCTGAGAAAAAAAATCAGAATTCTGAAATTAAAGTCAGAATTCTGATATTAAAGTCAGAATTCTGAGAATAAAGTCAGAATTCTGAGATTAAAATCAGAAATCTGAGAAAAAAGTCGAAATATGAGGGGAAAAAATCATAATTCTGATATTGAAGTCATAATTTTGAGGAAAAGGTCAGAAATATGAGGAAAAAAAAATCATAATTCTGATATTAAAGTCAGAATTCGAAAAAAAGTCAGAAATCTGAGGGAAAAAAGTCAGATTTTTTCCCCCATATTAAACTGAAAAAATATTTAAAAATCAGTAAATTATTTTTTCTGTGGCCCTAATCCTCTTCCGTACTTGCATGCTGTTTCATTTGTGCATTTTATTCCATCACTGCTTTGGTTTAAACTGTGGCGCCCTGCAGAATAAGCACTACGTCAGAATAGGATTAGGAGCTGTGGGCTGGCCCTGCATATCACCGGATCTCCTCCAGCTCCGCTTCTCCGCTGCAGTTATTGCTCTGTCGGCGTGGAGGACGCACCGGTCCACATCTCTCGCTCCCTAAAACCGCCTCCCGTTTCCCCGCTGCTGATATGAGCGCAGATCGAGGCTGAAATCTTCCGCCGAGAGGAGAAAACCTGAGCGCCCGTTTCTATCTCAGCAAGAAGAATCGGAGCGGAGGATGCAGTGATGCTGTGAGGAAGCCGCGGCTGGAGGAAAGAAGTTCTGCTGAACAGCGAGCCCAGATGTTGGTCTGCTGATCTCCGATCCAGAGGATATGGTCCCCGGGGCCCCCAGCACTACGACCGCCACCACCACCACCATGCTCCCCGCCTCGGAGGCTGCCAAAATCTACCAGACCAACTACGTCCGCAACTCCCGCGCGATCGGCGTCCTGTGGGCCATCTTCACCATCCTCTTCGCCATCGTCAACGTGGTTTGCTTCATCCAGCCCTATTGGATCGGGGACGGCGCGGACACCCCGCAGGTGGGCTACTTCGGTCTGTTCCACTACTGCATCGGGAACGGCATGTCCCGGGACCTGGTCTGCAAGGGCAGCTTCATGGAGTTCAACAGCATCCCCTCCGGCGCCTTCAAGGCTGCGTCCGTCTTCATCGGCATGTCCATGGCGCTGGTGCTCACCTGCATCACCTGCTTTGCGCTCTTCTTCTTCTGCAGCACCGGAACCGTGTACAAAATCTGCGGCTGGATGCAGCTGGCTGCAGGTAGGGGGTCATTCTGGCTCTGAGGAGCATCCTAAAGATTTAAACTAAACCTTAGAGACCGACTCACCTGTGATCCACACGTGCTCTGCTCTATACTGTGCTGCAAAGCTGTTAAACTTTCCCATCCGTTTCTATTTAACAATGAATGGCAGCATCATGGTGAGGTTATTGGAGTTAACAGACCAACACATGTGACATTCATTTCAGGGGTGTCAAGCAGGGGCGGATCCAGGATTCTAGGAGATCATGGGCTTAGGCAAGGCAAGGCAAATTTATTTGTATAGCACAATTCAGTACAAAGACAATGCAAAGTGCTTTACATGATTAAAATATAGGAAAATAAAACAGAATTAAAGCAAGTAGGAACAAAAATAAATGCAGAAACAAAAAAAAAAGAACATTAAAGACAGTTGGACTAAAGAAAATAAAAAAGTTAAAGTAATGATGCTTCAGTTGAACTATAACAGTTGAGCCTTGAGAGTGACGATGAGAGAGTAGAGTTTCTGGTAAATCAACATTTTCTAATGTAAAATATGACAGATTATTGGATTAAATACATTTCTAGTATGCAACATACTATCACACATAACAATTCCCCCTCTATAACATGGGAAGAAATTAATGTACCAGCAAGTCTTTAACTGTGTTTATTCCTCTCTTCAAACTCTGGATTTGGTGACATTTGATCATTATTTGCTAAAGTTATGAGAGGAAAATTAAATATTTAAGCCACCGGATATAATCCAAAAACTAAACAAATCCTGTTAATTTTGAAACTTTATTAATTTTATTAACTTTATTTGAATTTTTTTTTCTATATTATGTTTTAAACATTTATTATTTTGTAGTTTGAAATCCGAAAGAGTTTAAATAAATACGACTGTTGGTTTGACATTCTTCATTAATTATATTTTCAATTCTCAAACATTTTGAATTGAGAATTCTTTCGGGATGGAAAGAGAAACATCTTCCAAATTGGAAAACAAAGTCCAGTTGTCAACAATGGGTGGTGAGGTTGCTCGAGGACTCAGATGCAGAGACGAGTGAAGCAGAGATGAGTTCTAAGAGGTTTAATGGCAGACCAAAGGTAGCAGAGGCAGAAATCCAAAAATCCAACTTAAAATATTAAACAAACCAAAACCATGGAGACATGGAGACCATGAAAGAACCAGCACTGAGTGACTGCAGAGGTGGAGTATTTCAGGAGAACAAAACAAAGTATGGACTAACGAGCTGAATGAGAAGCAGGTGTGGGTGGAACTGGCAAGAGGGAATCCAAGGGGAAAGAAAACAATCACAAGGGGGCAGCAGAGAGTAACCAAAGAATGCTAGAATATCATGGAAAATAAAAACAAAACAACTGATAACAGAAAACTCAGAGTCACAACAAATGAAAACCATAACCCCAGTGTTTTTGGTTTGAACTTTTTTTTGAAATATTTATAAATTGTTAGATAAACATTTAAACAGAAAATACATTTAATAAAGATCATCAAAGGGGGAACGGATTATATCAGGTGGCTAAAATATTTGATTCTCCTCTCATAACATTGGCAAATAATGATCAAATGTCACCAAATCTACAGAGTTTGTTGTTGATGAAGAGAGGAATAAACACAGTTAAAGACTTGCAGGTGAATTAATTTAATCCCATGTTATAGAGGAGGAACGGATTATTTCTGGCAGCTAAAATATCCATTCTCTCCTCCTCCAATATCTTAGGGAAATAAAGAGCAACTGTTTCCAAATTCTCAAAAGTTTTTATGTGTGATATCATGTCGTATACTAGAAATGTCCTTAATCGAGTAATCTGTGATAGATTAGAACAGGATTTACCAGAAAGTCTACTCTCATCTTTTCAGGAACTCTTAATTTCTGTGTCCTGCTATCAGCCTGTTTCCATCCTCTTATATCACCAATGAAATATTATAAATACTCACTATGTGTTGGAAAACTGTGTTTGGTGACTGACTTTTATTTTTCAGGCTTAATTGACAGAAGTTGGAAAAAGACAGATTTTATTGGCGTTTGAAAAAAACCAAAACAGCTTAAAAAGAACCTCGTCTATTTATTCATTTATTTTACAATTTTGTAAACAACAGCTGCTGATTAAACTATATGTTACAACCTATCAATTTGCCTGCTAACATTTTGCATTAACCTTTTAAGGAAAAGAAAGTCCTGCATCAGCTGAAAATGCAAGTCTGTTGCAGATCTTTTCTTATATAACCAAACCATCTTTAAAGTAGGAGTGAAGAAAATAGTTGGATTAATTTATTTTTGACGTTAACTAACTAGTTTAGTAAATTGAAGAATTGGTAACTAGACTATTACGACTCCAAGGACGACTAAATACATTGAGATTTTGCCTTTAAGATCAATATGCTGCAAATCAAGCTGCAAAACTTTAGCTTCAACTGGTTGAAATTGTGTAAACATGTTTACAAAAAAAATCCTCTTAAGCACCTTTCGTTATCCAATTATAAATCGTTCAAAATGCAAAACAGTCCAGAGATTATAGTTCTTTAGCAAAATAATCTTTTATACTTAAATACTTTATCATGAGAATTAAATGCATTGATTTTTTTACTAACTGAATAACCCTTAACTGATTGTTTTACACTTGATTGTATTTAGGGGTATTAGATTAAAGGGGGCTAAATAACGATACACTGCCAAATATATATAGAAAGAAAATATTAAAAGTCTTCCTTTTGAATAATCACATAAAATCTCAAAATGTGAAATTGTTTGCCAGCATTGCCTGATTTGCGGGGAATAATTGATGTAACAGAGTGCAGCCCGTTTATTTTCAAACGACAACACCAACCCATCCTTCCCTCCTTCTTCAAATTTGTACCTTTCACCTTCAGCTGATAGAATATATAAAAGTTTAATCCATACCGTCTCTTGCTGCTCGTGGTTGAGTCAGAAAAACAGAAAACTTTTACCCGACTTTCTCATAGACGCATAAAGTTAACAAGTTTCTCTTCAGAGCCTTGGGATGCGTGCACGTTCGTAAAAGCCTGATTGTCAATTGTATTCATAAGCATTTCAAAGGGCTTAAAGTTTACATTTGCATAAAATATAAACAATAGCTGAGAGTCAGAGGAGCCCCCAGGAATGACAACCACAAGTGTTAAAAAGGATGAAAAACTATGAATAGAAAACAACTTTAATTTACTCCGCAGACGTTTGAAAATGTTGTTATGCACATTATGGTCCCCATAGATACGCATTTCTGACCCAGAATATCAAATAATCCCTCGGCGTTGAACCGTGCTTCTCTATAGATGCTTGCAGAAAAATAACAACAGCTTTTGCTCGGATGGGAATTAGATGTCCTGACCAATAACAATCACATTAGGAAAGATGACACATTTCTGCTTTTATGTTTAGAGCCGAGCGCCTAGTGAGGTAGTATGACCTGTGGGTTTTGCAGACCACCAGTAAATAACAAATTTATGATGGACTGGTGACCCGTCCCTGGCTTCCGCTCGCTGCCGGCAGGATTAGATTTCACCCTGAGTGACCGTGGAGCGGCAGGAGGTGGGAACAGGAAATAAACAATGAGGAAAAGAGTTCCCCTTCATCTAAAACCTCAAGCTGAAGCAGCTGCGACAACGAGCTCCATAACGAGCCCCTCTTAACGAGCAGCAGTCTGTTTTGAGGTTGGATGAACACAGATCAAAGCTTTACAGAAACATCCTTAAAACTAGCTAAATTTAGTCTCTGTGTTGGTTCATTTTTTTTTTTTTTACTGCACTATTGGCTCCTTTTTTCTGACAGTAGGCTGACAGGAAAGGGGTATGAGAGAGAGGAAGAGACATGCGAAAAAGGACCACAGGACGGATTTGAAGCCGGGTCGGGCACGTCGAGGACAAAGGCCTCCGTACATGGGTCGAAACATCTTTTTTAATAATAATAATAATAATAATGAACTTTATTTGTAATGCACTTTACATTTGAATTCAAATCTCAAAGTGCTACAGTTCAAAAAGGGAAGATTAAAACAAAGGTTAAAAGACCATAACATTAAAACAGAGTAAAAGACAATCATTAAAATCAATACATTTGAAGGCAGCCTATTAGAAAATCTAAAAATCAGCGATTGAAAGCATTTCTAAAAAGGAAAGTCCACCATCTGTGGGGCCCTAAGGTGATCTGGGAGGGCATTTCTATGGAGGATAAAAAGTGCCAAAATTAAATAAATAAATACAGCATTAAATAAATAATTGAATGTGTCAATATTTAATTAAATGTGGAATTAAATAAATAAATGTGTCCTTCATTAATTAAAACCACGTCACTAATATAAAGTGCCACAATTAAATTAATAAATACAGTGATAAACAATTAATTAAATGTGTAATTCATTAAATAAATAAGGAATTAATATATATATAAATAAGGAATCTTCCAAAGGAAGAATTGCACTTTGAAGCATATTATTGTGTTTTCACCCATGTTTTATTGCAAATTAAAGAACATTTGGATGATCTTTTCTGAGTCCTTTAGCTCTTTAGGGGCTGGTTGTAAAACACTATTATGAAAGTTAGGGGGCGGGGTTAACGCGAATCGAGTCGCCACCTACTGTATCAGAGTATGTTCACAACCTGTGGATCACAGTCTCTGTAATCGATTTGCTTCGCCTTAATGTGCAGAGTGACCAATCAGGTGTTAGATAACCGCCCCCTAACTTTGATGGGTGAGTTTGACAGATTCTTTTAATGGTTTCGATGCACTGCGACACAGGACCATGAAATAATTAAATGCACACTAAAATAATTATATATTTTTTTTTTTATAAAATGAAAACTTATTTTATTAAATTGACACATTTATATATTTAATTCCTTACTTATTTAACGAATTACACATTTAATTAATTGTTTATCGCTGTATTTATTTATTTAGTTGTGGCACTTTATATTAGTTACGTGGTTTTAATTAATTAATGACATTTATTTATTTAATTACACATTTAATTAATTATTGAC